AGTTCAAATTGTGAGAGCTGGCATCGTTCATGGGTCATATGAAAATCATATATCTGAAAAAAGAATAGTGTATATGGTATAGATCATTATTTTAATATTTAAAGACTGCACAGCCTTTCTTAAGGCTGCGAAGATTCTGGATCATGACCAAGCAATTATCATTCAAATTAAACTTATATACACAGGTTATGAATACCACTCATGGAAATGAAGCTTTTTAAGTTTGAATTCCATTGGATAAGAAACCTTAAATTCCATGTGTAACCCAAGATGCCAGATTCCCTTACTGATAATTAGGTGTTTTGGTGGTAATAATAGCTTGTAATAAACTTGGATTAAATCCTCACCTTCTCACCTACTTGAGATTAATTGGAAAAAAAGAATTCCTCATCTTAAGAAAGCTTGCAAGTGGAACAATGATTCTGGCTTATTATTGGCTTACAGCAAAACCAAAATAAAATAATTACAGAGAGTAATAGATCTAAGTCAAATTTATATTTTAATGCACACTTTGTAACTTTTATTTTGACAAAGCACCTTGTAAATTTGGTTTCCAAAAAAAAAAGACCACCCATTACCCACTTATACAAGAGAAAGTTGCAAGCATCGGGCTGACACATCAAGTAAATCTGGGTTCCAAACATATGACAATTTCAAATCAATAAAGTATAGTGAAGCAAACCAAGAAATTAAACTTTACCCCACACGCAACTCCTGCCTCTCTTCTATCACTCTCCCCAGCTCCCACGAGAAAGAAGACAGTGAAAAAAGGGGAAAGGAAAATTGAAAGATGAAGGAAATGATAGTCCACTAACAGCTTTATGTCACATATCGTTAGGAAGAGTAATGAAAACATTTTAATTGTTATTTATACATCAAATCATAGATGTTCCCTTCCATTGTCTTGGATGTGATCACATACATATATATTTAGATAAAAATGGGGTATCAATGACGAGGTGGGGAAGAGGAAAGAGTCAGTAGCAACAAATGTATCACAGTCAGAAACAAAAGTTGAAGGCGAGATTTATTTATGTTTATTCCCACGAACAATGAAGAAAAAGATGAGGCAGACAAAGGAAATTGGCTTTTGCAGGCTGAGATGGTTTAGTGCTTGTAATCATCCCTTCACGTAATTATCCCTTCTTACGTATGTTTTTCGCTGTTTCTAGATTCATATGGAGGTGTCCCCATATTCTGGCCTCGAAATCACTTCTCCATTAGAGAAGATTGGGAAAAAATGAACAATTTATTAGGCCCAATTTACAAGATGGCAAATCAATTAATGGTCTCAACGTGTAAGTTACAATTATGGAAATCAGAAAAAGGTTAATGGGATTGATTATTGTAAAAGAATGCTAAAGTGTTTAGCAATCAATTGCTCATATAAGAAATTAAATGTCCAGAAATCGTTATTGACAGAATAATCAGACTGTCCAAGTGTTAAAAATTAAAGAAGAAATCGGGATTCACTATAGCCATTATCTGTTTCTATTTTTCTATTGAATACAAGTACACAGATACATTATTTTAAGCACAAAAGTTGTAGAATGCATAAGGAAAAAGATTAAATTAGATGGAAGTTTAAGTATTTTAAACTTTTCATGTCATGTCGTGTACAACACTCACATTCCTAACAAACCATAAAAAACTTTTTGAAATGAAGAAAGTTAAGTAGGCTTTGTTGGCCCTAGATAAAGCACGTATCCTATTAGTTGTATTATATCAAGGCATTAGTAGAGGGTAAAAGAAGATGATTTTGGAGCCTGCTTCACTCTCCCAAAGCAAGAAGAAAGTGAAAGTCGAGCCAAACTCTATGTTTTTTCCATGGAAAGGAGAGAAGAGAAGTGCGAGGGGACAGAAAGGAACACCATTCAAGGCATAAAATAGTGAGACATAACGTGTTTTCTGGGTTGGAAGAGCTTTGGGCTCGGTGATATTTTTATCTTAGCCCAAAGCTTCTAGTACTTAGTGAAAGAGCGTTTGAAAAAAGCAGATAAAACCAGCGAATCTCACCCCACCCACTTACCTCCGTTCCCAACTACACTCCCAAGGAACTCCCAAATATATATATATATATATATATATATATATATATATTAACCCCCCCACCCACACCCAATCCCACCAGCCACCCTTCCAAATCTTCCCTCTTACTTCTACGAAGTTTTATAAAAGTTGAGCAACCAAGGTTCTGATTTTGAAATATAAATACTTATCACTCTTTTATCTAAATACCCAAAACGCCATATAAATCATAAACCAAATTAAGATTATGGATTTTCTTAGTTAATTATCTCAATAAATTAGAAATATAATTCATTGGTTAGAATTTGAGACTTGAATTCGAATTTTAAAGTAAATTGATAAATTTTATGGAACGATATAAGATTTTTTTTGAATAGCAATGGTATCAAGTTTAGAACGATCTTTCGTTATGTAGTTTAAGTTAAATAAGTGTAGATGTATAAGAAAACATTAAAAAAAAAAACTTATCAATCGGTGTAATAATTTTGTTAAATAATTATCATTAAAAATGAGTAATAATAAAGAAGGTTTAATAGCCCCTTTAATTAAAACTGCAAGGCTGCAGTTTACTAGAAACAGCAGTGGCAGTGTGCCTAATCTTGCTCAGGAATCGTTGGGTGCCATTAGATCATTGGCTGTGAATCTTTGCGCAACGAGGTTGGAGTTGAATAAGAGCCAAAACAGATAAGGCCAAATTCAAAAAGCAAAAAGAATTTGTAAAAAGAAAAACTTTGCTAGCTGCACGGATAGATAAAATCACTACAATACCCTTTTGAACCACATGAGCTGTTGGACACCCTGAAAGGGACACTTGTTTTTTTTTCAAAAGTCACTGATATCCACGAGGTAAGAAAGGGGTATTATAGTCCCTTTTGGTGGACACCTGCCCCCCCGCCCTCATCCCACAGTATAGTGTGGCTTTTCCCCTGGCGTGTAAGGGCCGTTTGGTCATTTTGCCGCCATGGGAAATCAAGCTCTCTTTTGTGTTTTCTTCCCTGTTTTTGGACCATCTTCCTCCCTAGGGTGTCCCTTTAGCGGGGTCCCCTGTCTTTACCAAAGGCCTAGTTCAGGGTAATCCCGAAATTTCACAACACGGCGATGGTAATTATGCCTACTGGTTAAAGAAACAAAAAAGTGATACTCCTGCTAAATGATACTAATAGCAAAGAGAGACAGAGAAATGGGTTTTCACGAAGACACCACTTCTCGTGTCTCTCTCCATTGTCAGTCAACAGAATTTGACCAACTTTCTTTACCACCTCCCAGCAAAATTATTACTGTTTAATAATTGTAAATGATTTCCCCCCCCCCATCCATCCTTTTTTCCCGATCTTTCATATTTTCTTCTTCTTCCTCTTTAGATTCTACAATGTAGTCAAGACAATATTGGCTGCAATTGGGAGAGGATATGGTGGGTTAAAAAGAAATGATGATGAGGATGATGATGGGTACTTTTTTTTTTGTTGTATATTTGGTTTCTATGGTCACAGTTAGTAGCTAACAGTGTAAGGGTTATATGGGACCCTTCTACCCTTTGTATTGGTTTGGTTTTCGGGTGTCTCGTGGTTGATCCCTTGGGGTTGCATCAGACACCAACTGGGACCCATTCTTTTAGGGTAGAGAATTTTGGGTCATCCCCTCCATTAATTATCACTAATCCACATGTTTTCTTTGTTTTTATTTTTAGTTTTTGGTGCAGTGATTCAGTTCTTTGCTTATGAATTATGATGATCCTGATTCCTGGGTCATTGCACTGTAATCAATCTGCTAGAAAACAAAATAGCAGTCTCTTGACCCTGGAACAAATACCAGTGAGCCGTCTCATTTAGTAAAGCTCTTTTCCTTTTCACTGTTACTAATACTACACATTTTAGCATCGAGTGTAGTCAGAGTCAGACAATAATTAGACGATTTCAATCAGCATAAAAAAAAAATAACCCCAACGCTCAAAAATAGAAACAGAGAAAGGAGACAATATTAAAATCTGCAGTAACATATGATGAGATGAAGTTTACCAGTTTGTGAAATTAATTGAACAATAAATGCCTCAATATAGAGAGGTCAACCCCCCCACATACAGCTAGTCTACATATATTGCCTCTACCAGAAATATGAAACCCGTCTACGAATAATGCCAAAATTTTCATACTGCTGCAAATCAATGCAGCAACTACAAATCATTATGTTAAAAGAAATTAAAAAAAGAAAATACATTTAACTATATATATATAATAAAAACATAATAAATAATAATGGATCACACCAAACAATTTTCCAAATTTGATTAATTTGGGAACCCTTTTCCAATCCCATCTTTTCTTCTTTCAATATCTCAAGTTCTGGTCACCTAAAAAATTTTAAAAATTACATTATTCATCTTCACAAGAGAACCCATTTTATTTCAAACTTGGAGACAAATCTTTTTACCCACTCATCAACGGTTCATTCTTCTAATTTTTACTTTCTTAGTATATGCTAACTTTTATTAGCTGGCTGACTAAAATAGTAAAATTCAGCCGATATACTTTTTTCTCCTCCTATCTTTTCCTTTAATACTAGTAATTTTGTTTCTGTTTTGGGTAACATGATTGAAATAATTTCAACAAGTTTGGGGGAAAATAAACAACTTGCTTTTTTTTTTTTGGACCATTCAATTAAAGGAGAAATTTCTTCTTTGATTATGGCTTTTAACTTTAACGAACTCTTAACATTGTGCCTCCAGAATTTAACAAAATCACAAAAGCAAGCCAACTCAGTCGTAATTTTTTCCTAAATGAAAAGAGGGATAAATAGAATTAACCCAACAACAACAGTCCAAAATGAAAATAAATGAAACCTTTCGGCAATTATGAAAATTCCCCCCATCTTGTTCAAATACCAGCTTTACCTTAACTTAAAAAAAAACAAATAAATAATAATAATAATATTTTTTTTTTAAAAAAAAAAACAGAATAAAATCACACTTCTTCGCGTCTTCGTTACCGACCTCACCTCACTCTCTTTTCGCTCCCCACCCTCTCTCCTTTCCCTCCCATTCCTCCCAATATCCATTACAGGAAGAGAAAAGAAAAGAAAAGAAAGAAAAAAAACCAAAAAAAAAAAGAAAGAGCGAGATGAGGTTGCTCCTCCTCCTTCTCTTTCTTCTCCTCCACATTTCCCACTCCTCCGCCGCACGACCCGTCTCCGAGTTTCGCGCGCTTCTCGCCGTTAAATCCTCCTTTACCGACGACCTCAATCTTATCTCTCCAACTGGAATACTACCCTTTTGCTCATTCACCGGAGTCGCGTGCGACTATACCGGTCGTCATGTGACATCCATCGACCTATCTAACTTCAACCTGTCCGGAACTCTTTCCCCTTCCTTTTCCCAGCTGCGTTTCCTCCAAAGCCTTTCCCTCGCAGCCAACCAGCTTTCCGGTCCAATCCCGACGGAACTCGCCGCTCTTTCCGCTCTCCGCTACTTCAACCTATCCAACAATGTTTTCAATGGCTCTTTCCCTTCCCAACTTTCCCAACTCAAAAATCTCCAAGTCCTCGATTTATACAACAACAACATGACGGGAGAGTTACCGATTTCCGTTACTGAGCTTCCCAATTTACGCCACTTACATTTGGGAGGAAACTTTTTTAGCGGTCAGATCCCGTCAAGCTACGGCCGCTGGGAGTTTCTGGAATATTTAGCCGTTTCGGGTAACGAACTCGATGGTAAAATTCCACCGGAAATCGGTAACTTGACCAAGTTGCAGCAGTTGTACATTGGTTATTACAATAGTTTTGAAGGTGGTTTGCCTCCGGAGATCGGAAACTTGTCCGAACTCGTTCGTTTCGACGCTGCTAACTGCATGTTATCCGGCGAAATACCACCAGAAATCGGCAAGTTACAGAAGCTCGACACGTTGTTTCTTCAAGTCAATGCACTCTCCGGTTCCTTAACTCCCGAGCTGGGAACCTTAAAAAGCTTGAAATCAATGGATTTATCGAACAATATGCTCGCCGGAGAGATGCCGGAGAGTTTCGCCAACCTCAAAAACTTGACACTTCTAAATCTCTTCAGAAACAAGCTTCATGGACAGATTCCAGAGTTCATTGGTGAGTTGCCTGAGTTGGAGGTTCTACAGTTATGGGAAAATAACTTCACGGGAAGTATTCCTCAGGAGCTGGGAAGTAATAAGAAGCTTCAGCTTCTAGATCTTTCGTCGAATAAGTTAACGGGGACTTTGCCGCGGGATATGTGTTCCGGCTACACGTTGCATACGTTGATTACTTTGGGGAATTTCCTGTTTGGTCCAATTCCGGAATCGTTGGGGAAATGTGAGTCACTCAGTCGCATTCGAATGGGGGAAAATTTTCTCAACGGATCAATTCCGAAAGGCCTTTTCGGGTTACCTAAGCTTACTCAAGTTGAATTGCAAGATAACTATTTAACCGGGGAGTTTCCTGTTACTGAATCTTCTATTTCGGCGAATCTTGGGCAAATTAGTTTATCAAACAATCAGCTTTCGGGGGCTTTACCGGCTAGTGTCGGTAACTTTTCAGGTGTTCAGAAGCTTCTTCTTGATGGGAACAAGTTTTCGGGTCGAATCCCAGCTGAGATTGGGAAGTTACAACAACTTTCAAAGATGGATTTTAGTCATAACAAGTTTTCAGGTACGATTGCCCCGGAAATTAGCAAATGCAAGCTGTTAACGTTTGTTGATCTTAGTCGAAACGAGCTTTCCGGTGAGATTCCCACTGAGATCACAGGTATGAGGATATTGAACTACCTGAATCTGTCAAGAAATCATCTTATTGGTAGCATTCCTTCATCAATAGCTACTATGCAAAGTTTAACTTCAGTTGATTTCTCATATAACAATCTTTCTGGTTTGGTTCCGGGCACTGGTCAGTTTAGTTATTTTAACTACACCTCATTTTTGGGGAATCCTGAACTATGCGGCCCTTATTTGGGGCCTTGTAAAGATGGGGTTGCTAATGGAACTCATCAAACTCATGTCAAAGGTGGACTCTCAGCTTCTTTGAAGCTTTTGCTTGTTATTGGGTTACTTGTGTGCTCGATTTTGTTTGCAGTCGCGGCTATAATCAAAGCAAGATCTTTGAAGAAGGCCAGTGAGTCTCGCTCGTGGAAGTTAACTGCTTTCCAGCGCTTGGATTTTACCTGTGATGATGTTTTGGATTGTTTGAAGGAGGATAACATTATTGGAAAAGGAGGTGCTGGGATTGTGTACAAGGGAGCTATGCCTAATGGTGATCAGGTTGCAGTTAAAAGGTTACCGGCGATGAGCCGAGGATCTTCTCATGATCATGGATTCAATGCTGAGATACAGACTCTGGGGAGGATTAGGCACAGGCACATTGTGAGGCTGTTGGGTTTTTGCTCAAATCATGAGACAAATCTCTTGGTCTATGAGTATATGCCGAATGGGAGTTTAGGAGAGGTTCTTCATGGCAAAAAAGGGGGTCATTTGCACTGGGATACGAGATATAAGATCGCAGTTGAGGCTGCTAAGGGGCTCTGCTACCTTCATCATGATTGCTCCCCTTTGATAGTCCATCGAGATGTGAAATCGAACAATATCCTCCTTGACTCTGAGTTTGAAGCACATGTTGCTGATTTTGGCCTTGCCAAATTTCTGCAAGATTCAGGCACATCTGAATGCATGTCTGCTATAGCTGGTTCATACGGTTACATTGCTCCAGGTATAATCAAACTCTAAAATTGATGAATTTTGATTTTTTGCTGTTTTTGTCTCTTGAAATTTGTACTAGTTTTCATATATTTGTCTCTTTGTTTTAAAAAAAAAAGTTTAAAAACTCATGTTTTCCAAGCGAACTTTTTGACTCTTGTTATGATTTGGGTTAGGATCATGCATTAATACCTACCAATAATTTCTTGTGTACTTCGTTTGACTTTGTGGGTTCTTGTTAGCATGGTTTGGTGCTCCGAAACTGTCTTTAGGGAAGTTAAATATTTTCTTCATTTCAATCGGTATCGGTAGCTTTGAAAGTACATCAATCTAGTTAAGTTTGACCAAGTAAACCTCTTGTCCACGATTGAGAAACAATTACAAGAAACTTAAATCTGTTATTTCTAGCTGCTTGCTTCAAATGATCTACTGTAATCGTCTTTACTAATCTGCTCAAAGTTAAAAAATCAACAGCATATAACTGTGCTACATTGAAGTTCATACTTGGCTCTTTCTGTTGTTTCACTGAGAATTTCATTGTCATTTTTTTTGCAGAATATGCCTACACGCTTAAGGTGGATGAGAAGAGTGATGTGTACAGTTTTGGTGTAGTCCTCTTAGAGCTTGTTAGTGGCAGAAAACCAGTGGGTGAATTTGGCGATGGTGTAGACATAGTTCAATGGGTTCGAAAAATGACAGATTCAAACAAGGAAGGGGTTCTCAAAATCCTTGATCCCAGACTCCCTTCAGTGCCTCTCCATGAGGTGATGCACGTATTCTATGTAGCGATGCTCTGTGTCGAAGAACAAGCTGTAGAGAGACCTACAATGAGGGAAGTGGTTCAAATTCTAACAGAACTCCCAAAACCACCCAACTCAAAGCAGGGAGATTTCACAGTCTCAGAGTCATTACCATCCCCAGGAACAAGTTTAGACTCTCCTAATGCAACAACAAAGGACCAGAAAGACCAGCAACAGCCTCCGGCACCTAAATCACCGCCGCCTGATCTTCTTAGCATTTAAAGTTGTTTTTTGCTTGGAGGGATTGGCTTGTGCTCTAAATTTCATGAATTGTGCTAGTTACTACTGTGTTTTTTTATTTATCTTTTGGGGGGTTTTCTCTAACTTTAAGGTGTTTAAACGTTTGAAGGGTTTTTTTTTCCTTTTTAATTTTGTACAGTAGGATTGGTGGGGGGTATTTTATTATAAAAGCTTTTGTCTTCATCATGCTGTACTGGCTGCAAATGCCGCTGCTTCACCCCTCTGCTATCTGTTTATGGCACATCTGTTAACTGTTCTAACCCTGCAAAACTCAAAGCCCCATTGTAAACATCAAGGGAAAATTAGTCATTGTATTTTGAGGAGCGTTTCTGACAGACGAGAGTGAAACATTGAAAGAGACCCAAAATCGTGTATTATATGGTTCAATGCAGATTAATAATAGCCCGTAAAGTGGATAGGCACACAGTAACAGATGAAAGCAGTCGCGCTCACCAACCCAGGCCTATGGCCAATAGATTTCCTCTGGTGGAGAGTGACCTCGTCGGCTTTTCTGATGATGGGCTCTCTGGCATTTTTTTTTTTCTGAATCAATTGATCAAGTGAAATGAGTGCTTGTTTCCCCTTTAACGGAAGCAGGGATGGATCCTTTTACATGCTTAAGCTCACTTCGAACTTACAAGTCTACGTTCTTAGTTTCTCACCCGCCATAAATAAAGCTTTGGTGTAGCAATAGCAGGGGGACCATGAGGGTTTAAATATTTTTTGGTCTCTGGTTTTGGAGGCAAAGGGAATGGTGGCCTTTCCTGCTGGACCCCATTTTGAGGCTTCCGTCACATGCCATGCAAGTTGAATTCACATGCAAATGCAAAATTTGAGTTAGGGAGGGATTGTCCTTTTGGTTGTTGGACTCTGATTCTTGAATCGGAGTGATTCTTCGTCAACAAAATCACCAACCAAAAAAAAACCCCATTGATAGAATAAAAATCATCCTAGCCATTTTATATCAAATTTTGTCTCTTAGCTATAATTTGTTACTTTCGGATTTCTATATCCACATCTGAAACCCCTAATTTAAAGGTTAAAAACAATCTACCAATCTGGAATATTTATGAAACCTTAAAAACAGAAAATGTTCAATCTTAAATTTACATGAACATTCATATCATATGATACGGCTCTTTTACAGGACAACGACAAAACACGACGTCCCAGCTTGGTAGCGGTTGCTTGTACCTACTTGTGTTTGGCAATTATTCGTATGGCTAAGACGTGCGGTGCCCATGTTGGAGGTTTGTTTGATTCCGCCCAAAGTGGGCTAAGTTTCTTTATTGTTGATTGTACGTATATTTCATCAGTGACGTGGAACGTCCAATCCAAGTAACAAGCATGGAGAAGATTGGGGTGGCATTTTTCGTTTTCCGGAGCTTTTTTGATTGATGGGATTAATTTTATACGTTTCTGAATTTTATTACATTTAATTGCCCACCTTGTATTGGAGTTTGCGAAGTGAAAACTCAGGCACCAGGAATGGAATGATCATATACCCCTGCAATTTGTACCAAAATATTGCTATCCACTATGCAACCACTGCATAATAAATATACTCCACTAGTTTGCATTTTTCCTCCTTTGACATAGCCTTACTATTCCTCACCACCACGTACACTCGTGTAGCCTTGATTTTGAGTTGAAAGTTAGGTCTTAAAATATTTTATTGTAAAATAATTCTGACATTATATTCTTTTTTCTGATGTTGTTGATCTTTCTTCTACTATTTTATATGATCAGCTGAAAAATTTAAAAACGAAAAGAGGAATTCATTCACCTTTATTTTTCTGGGCTTTGCACGGGCGGATTGGTTTCTTCACCAGGGAGTCAGGTCAAGTTTGATATCTCTTTTTTCTTTTGACGTAAAGTTTGATATATAATATAATCTTTTTTTTTCAATCTGTTCTGCTCTCGTTCATATTTCATAGATTGCTTCAAATGCTGAAAAGCACAATAGATTCTCCTTTGTTTTTTTTTTCCTGGGGAATGGGTAAATTCTTCTTAGCAATGTCCATCTATTAAGTTTCACTGGTCCATTTCTTTTCCTTCTGAGGGAGGTTTTCATCATATTGATATATCCCTGATTGTTGTTCAAATTAGTTCAAAAAAGAACTCTTCAATTCCTCTCCTCTCTTAATATCTCTCTTCAATTTTCTGGTTGGTAAAGTGGAATAATGCTTAAAAAAAATAAAGTGAAAAGGAGTTGATTATTTATGGTGTTTTTAGTATTGGGTACTCCAATAATAGATATTCACCTATCACTATAACTGTTCACAATGTCTTTGTCCAAAGGGATGACCCTTTTTTTCTAACGCTGAGACCCACCCAATGACATGAAGTTGAAGGACTTCAATTTCTGATAGTAGGGTGTGACTTAATCTGCCCCACTCCTGGCCCCCTTGCCTTAATCCAAGATGGCTAAAATTTTAAAAAGCTTTCACCATTTGTGGCAAGTTTGGTGGGATTTTGGCTATAATCTACCTCTTGATTTGATAATGTAAACAATTCCTTTGCCAATAATTTCGGTTGTAGTAATGTGTTTTAAGAATTTCATCTTCCATACCCTCTCATGCATGTGCTTTTGCCTGAGTCATTTTACAACATTTAATTTTTTTTGCCTCGTGTTTACGTTAATGTGTGAACATATGGTCCCCTCTCTAATAGGTTTACTGGCAGGTGAAGGTCAAATAATGAAGGGAAAACAGAAGAAAGGACAGAAAACTAACTAATAAAGTATATTGGTTCTTCCATAGATCTTCCTAGAAGTAAAATTAAAGGGAAAAAAATACCGAAAAAAGGTGGTTTTTCCGTAGATATCTATTCAAGGAGGGAGCTCACTGTCGGTCTGGATTGAATTAGGCAATTAGCACATTGAATGTAGGGTAGTCACTAAATAATTGGGAGCTTAGTAAGTGGACATCAATGTTCAAAACCTAATCCCACCTACTCATTATGTCACTTGATAATAGCAACAATATTTTACCTTCTGTTTCTCTTTCTTTTCTTTTTGTATGTTAGGACACTCATTAAGATATTAATTAGTTATATAAAGATTTTTACATTTAACGTAATAGATGATAGTTGATCCAAAGATTCTTAATAGTATATAATTTGATTGATACCTAAACATGGTTTCTTTCCGAAGAATGGTATCAGGATTAAACTTTCTCGTTTCCCAATTGATTAATAAGTTTATAGAATTCTGAAGTTAGGGAAGAAGGAAAAAAGAGAATTTCCAAATGTTATGGTTGGTCACTAGAAGCCTTAACAATGGAAGCACATTCAATGGAAGATGATGGATCATTGCTCAATGATTGATGATGTGGAACTGAGAAATGGAGACCTAGGGAACCTTTGAAAAAACCCAAAAGGAAAGGACAAAACATTAGGAAGAGAGGAAAACGAAATGAGGTAAATGTGATAAGGTGGAAATCAGAATGTGTTTCAGGATTCTTGTGAATGGGACTTCAAGTTGATATTTGATGTCTATATTTCTTTTCTTTTCTTTTTTAAATGATGAACATGAGAGATTTTTTTTTTTTAAAGAAAAAACACTAGGACAAGGTCAAAATAAGAAAGATGAAATACTCCTAAATGACAAACAACTTTTTCAAAGGAAAAAATGCATCCAACATGGGGCACCAACCAGGACTAAAAGGACTAGTAATATTTTTTTTTTTCCTTTCTTTCTTAGCAAATCAGCCTTTCTTTTTGCTACAACCATATGAGATCTTCAAGCTTTGTCTTTTTTTTCTCACATTGGAATCCACTGCCTCCCTCTACAATGATAGGTCTTGAATTAAATTTTACCCCATCACAATTCAAAATTATTTAATGGAAGTTTGCCAATAATAATTCCCTGTCTCCATCTCCTTTTTTGGCATTTCTTTCTCATTTAGCAGGGTGACCACTCAACAAATCAATGTAACTCTATTGTTCCTGTGATTATATGCTTATTAGTCAAGAGTATTCCACTACTACAAATCTGTCGCTGTTTAATTGATGGGATCCAATGTTTATGTTGATTTGCCCTTTATCGAAAGGGAAACTTCCAATAAGTAGGGTATATGTTTTCATTCTTTAACTAAACATTTTTATTGTACTACAGAAAGGAGAGGGGAAAGCTAGCTAAGCGCTCGTCTTAAAATTTACTATTCTCTAAATTATTTATATCGAATTAAAATGTAATCTTTTCGGTTCTATTTATTTACGAGAAATTAATGATTTCTCTCTATATATCTGTGGTTGATGGATTCTATATTTATGGACACAGGAGTGGGCCTATTCAGGTTGCATGTTAATGATGGCGAGGCAAGCAAAGAGAAAAGAAGAACATATTAATTCATGTTGAGGGGACTTAGAGGCCTTGGGATTTTGGCCGGAAAATTTGGTACATGCAATAAAAGCTGAAATTAGGGAAGAAATGGAAGTCCACAATGTAGGTAAGGGATTTATATTTCTTTGTGGCACCCCACCTTTCATCTGCTTTATCTCTTTGACTTCACACTTCATTTTGAAGTTAGGATTTTTGGGTTCAGCTTCATTTATTAATTCCAGATATATATACTTCCTTTGTATCAATCTTTTATTAGGGTACCATTCTTGGCACATGCCTTCATTTATTGTGTTCTTTCATAATTTGTGCTTCTGTTACTTCCCCAAACTTTTGGGTATCATCAATGCCATGCCCTCATGTAAATTCAATGTCACTCACCATGGTTTTACCCCTACCTGGTAGGCACTTGTTATGGCCACCAGTTACAGCTGTTATTATCTTATGACATTTATATCTCTTATTCAAAGAATGAAGTTCGGATATCCTTTTTCTTCAGTTAAAAAAAATTTTATTTTTAATTTAATAAGTATATTTGTGAATTATTAACTAAGGATATACTATATAATATTTATACCTAAATTGGACTACAGCTAAACTCACAATTATTTGTGCTTTATAGACTTTCATTATTTGCTTATGCATTTTAAAGGTTATTTGTTTGCAAGTTATAATCTTACTAGTTTTTTCTTTCTTTTTCCCCTCTACTTTTATATAGGTTTGAAGAGTTAATGAATTCAACCTCCCATCATGGACTAAATTTAGTACACTACCTAACCTTATAAGTACAAACCATGCCACTTCATTTTTCTTCCTTGATATATTGCAAAAATTGAATCAAAAAAAGCTGTGAAAATGCATGCTAATGGAAATGAGAGTCATTGACAGCCGTTCATAATATTAGGCAGAAGAAGCCAGTCCATGATTTAACAACTCACATTATTGTTCCCTTTGAATAGCAAAGTTGCAGAAAATTTCACTTCTTTCTTCCTTTTCTTTGTTTTTTCACTGTTTAATTTTTTGAATTTATGGTAAAAAGATTTCCTGTCTAGTGTTTCTCTGTACCTTGTAAAAGACCATGAGCAGGGGGGCATTGCCTTTTCCTTGAAAGTGTGCCTTATATTTTATATATGCTAGACAAAAGTAAAAAGATGATATAATGTACCAAAAAAGAAAAAGACGATAAACGAGATAAAGATGAGAGACAGGATGATCCAAAATTTGGGAGGAAAGGCACTTGAGTTGGTAGAAAGGACACTAGTGGAGAAGGACATGTTCAATTCACCCGATGAAGCACCAAGCTTTCATGGAAAAGTAAAAACATAGAGTGAAAGTTAATTGAAAATCATAGAAAAAGCTATCATCCTAAGTAATTAAGAATATAAAGAGACCCTGGAATTTAAGTTTAACATTCGGTAACTATGCACAGTCTTACATGTACGAGTAAATTATATCGATAGCTTTGTGTCGACTCTTTAATGAAAGAACTTACAAATTCCCTCTTAGGATTGATTGTTGGACAAGTGAAAGATCATATGGCTAGCTCTAGGTATCATGTGGATGAATACCAAAAGAGCTGAATTCTTAGTCTCTAAACACAGCTAGCTGCATGGAGAAAACATGCCTCTGGCAGGATGGCTGGATTCCAAAGCAAACAAAGACTACTCCAAAAATTATATCATTCCCACTTTTCCATCAATTAAGACACTGTTCCACTGCAAATTATATATATATATATACACACACAAGTCGAGGGGGAGACACTGAATTGATGTAGGGAAAAGAAATAAAAGGATAGACATGACAAGCGCCTTTCATGTTCATAACTTTTGAAAATTCAACAAGGGAAAATGGCAGCCTGGTAAGCAACAAGACTGCAAAAGCAGAATGAAAGATAAGTTGGACTTTGGCACTCACTTGTCCAGCATTTTTAGCAACAAAGTTGAACATGTGTAATGAGAAGCGAAAAAAGAAAAGAAGAGAAAACATTTGTGGGGCTATGTACATGGGGCTCCAACATCATATATTTCATTTAAAGCAACCTTTAACCAAAGTCCACTCCACCGATTAAAAGTATGTTTATTATTTGAAACCTACTCCCATTGGAAAGATTGGAAAAGGTAATCCATAAAATACATTAATGTTATCTGTTTATGAAAGAGAGATCCCATGAAGCTTTGGTATGTGCATGAACAAAATGTATGGAAACTTTGTGGGGTCAGGAAAAACTCTGGGGTAGGGATAAACTTAGTGAAACAGCTTTTTCAATCATGTGAGGTTTTCACGGGGCTATAATTGTTGATTCCTCATCCTTCATCTTATCCTTTGGTGGTATTATAATTAAAAACGTTGTTCTATATACTAATTAATTAATTTTAATTATTTAAATAAATACATGGTAATATTATAAATTTTATGTATAAAAATAAATTTATTTTTAAGATTATGTTTTATAACATTAGAAGCCGATGGATTAAGAGTCAAAGCTTGAAAAATAAAGTTAGCACCATCATGGTATCATGTGATCTTCATGTGCCACCAACCAGAAAGTCAGAGCAAATTTCCGGCACACACGTGGCCCTGATTATCTTTTCTTTTGTCTTGGTCTCCCAAATAAAGAAGTGAATAAAAGGAGCTTTTGCCATTGACGTTGGTGAAAAGGCAAGGCTTTACGTTGGTAGAGATTTAATGTCCAGTACTCGGCCCAATTTTGGAACCAAAGGCAGATGGTCCAGAGGGAGTTGATTTTCGGCCTAGTTACATTATGGGCTTTAAATCTCTAATGGCCCAGAAATGTGGCAACAAGATAAGACCCCATGTAAAGAGCTAGCTGATTTGGTAGAATCATTTTAACATTTTGGAAACTCTTGACACATAAGTTTCCCCGCCAGCGTGCTGGCCCTAAATCAGTGCAGTTTGAAGTCTGGAGTCACGCCCGTGGCTCTATGACTTCATTTAGTACAATTTTCCCTTATGTTTTCAATTTGTACAATTTTAAATTAAATCCATCTTAAATTGAAATCATTTTGAAATTCACAATTTTAACTTTCCTTTATTTATCGATTTAAATTTGATCATATTCCGGTTTTCGAGTTTAAGTTCATTTTACCACCTCTAATAAAAACATCTAATTCCACCAAGGCAGAAAGATTATTGACAGTTGACGCTAAGGTGAAGTGCAAGCCTTAAGGAGTACCTGAAATTGCAGGAGAGGCCGGTCGCGGCAGGCCAGCTTATCGCTGCAAGCCCAGGCACACAAGCTAACCAGAATTGATGCTTTAACAATTTTTTTCCTTTCAACTGATCTCGACTCCTTATGATTTGGTAGACCAAAATTACCAATGAGAATCATAGAAAACACCTTCGACGTAAGGAGGAGATGTCAGGAAACGCTCAAGCCTCAAACATACCATGTCCGGTAAATAGGAGAGTCGGCATAACATAAACTTTTGATTGATAGAATAAAAAATGAAACAGACATTCCTAATTTACAAACCATTAATGCATCATGAATTTTAACCATAACCCACCACAATTGCGAGGTTGGCTCACATCCACGAACCCATGGCACAGGGTTTTGGTAAAACAAAACAGGGGTTTTACCCCTTATTCCTAGAAACTTTTGTTGTCAGAAAATAGGTATAACTGTAGCGTTCCTTGATTCTCAGGGTAAACCAAGATATCAAGCACCTACTCATTTCTTGACAAAGGAAACGCCCTTGTGAATGCTACTTGCTAGTTCTTTCTTTGCCTTCTCCAAGCCCACCCTGTTGATCATCATTTCCATTTTTATGTTAAATTTAAATACATATGGCATATGGGACAAATGAAATTTTCAATTAAAATTCAGGAGGAGGTCTCTAACAAAGATAATTACAAACCTCTCATACTCATTTAGTGGGCCAAGAGGGTATACTTCCTCAACTCCGAACCGACCAAGTCTTACCTTGGAGGCGAAGAAGGGTAATTCAGTCACCTAGAAAAGGAAACGTATTAGGTATTATAAACCTAAAAAATGAAAAAGAAAATAAAGGAAAAGAGAGGGGAAGGAAGAAACGGAAAAGAGATGTGAATCCAAATAAGGACTCAGATAACATACATGTGAGGCCACAAATGAACATTCAACAACGCCAGCATCTCCTCTTAAGCCACGAAGGCATGCATCAGCAAATTTAACCGCAGCATATGCCTGCACTTTTATTATGTTTATACATTTGTGTAACAACCAGCTAGAATCATGTCTCAATAGGAAACTTGACAAAATATGTGTACTTAATGGTTGAGAAAAACAGAGAACATATATGACTAACCATTGATAATGTTGCAGACCCAGCACCAGCCTTTGCCTGCAAGAAATTACAGAGTAAGGTCACTGACAGGTTTCCAGCATGTAAACAATGGCAACATATAGGTAAAATAAGTTTTTAGAGCCCAAGTTGGTACATGCTAGCATGAACCAATTTAAGTGGAAAGCTTCACCAAAACCAACAGAATATGTAGGCAGTAGCACAGTCAGGTTCATTATGTCTTAAACTTGATCAACATATTGTCCACAAATCTTGGTGTAGCAGCAAAAATTCCACAGTATCATGCACATATGCTGGCCAGATGTGCTCTACAAGTGCAAAAAGGTGGTGTTCTCATATTTGTCTTATCCTATGGAGGATTCCCTTAAAGCAGGGAAGAATGCCACGACTAATAGTAAGTTATGAAGCCATAAAGAAAATAAAAAATGCAAAGATCTCTCAATTCATCCTCATTGTTAAACTCCAACCACGGAATTAGATGATGTGGACAGGGATTTTTGTGTAACTCACTGCAAATTTTAATGCCAGCTGCATTATATCAAACAAAACTTTATCCAGATTCATCTTTTTACCAGATACTCAAAACAATTCCTCATGAATCACTCCATCATGCCCAATAAACAGATCCTGCACAGTTGCCTTTTCAGAGTTTTTGTTGCCACCTGATCTAGGTTGTCCACAAACAAGAGTCTTTTCTACCCCATCGCAAGTTTTTTTCAGTAATTCTCAACCCCAGGCTGCAACTAGAACTGCTTCTACATATCAATTGCTGGATATTTATAGAACTTGTCTAATTCTGCATCATATTTAACAAGATAGGAAAATGCACATGCTCCAAGAAATTTGGCCTAAAGCTTCCACTGCTCTGTGGCAAACCCACCATTTCTTGAAATGCTAATTATTAGATGTGTTATATATTTTAGGAACGCTTTTTGTGCTCAAACAAAATCAAACATACATAAGATTTGATTACTTTTAGTTCACCAAGTGGTTTCAAGCTATCTGATTGCTTAGTATTGAAATCAAAAGATATAAGCTTTACCTCAACAACCTCCGTACCACCATTCTGAATGCGATCTGTCAGATAATCAATTTCTTTTTGGGTGAAAGAACATGGAGGTTTAACCTGTATAAGGGGAACAGTGATTATTACATAGAAAGTCATTATAATACAAAACAGTAAGCAAGTAATTGTCTGAAAAGTTCTTTTGAACCTGAGATAGAACAGGTAAAATAGTAACCCCTGCATGCCCCCCAACAACAGGAACATCAACCTCCCGTGGATCAAGACCCAACACTTCCGCCTATAAAGAAACCAAAATAATGGGGGCCAAAAATTATGACTGAATACCAGAACTGAACATTGATAACAGCTACGTTACAAAATATTAGCTTCACCACATATGTAACACAATTTCCACTATACCACACAAAAAGGATGATGAAAGAAACCTATCCAACATTGTGTAACAAAATCCACTATTGGCTAATCTAAAGTAAAGAAGAATACATCAATGGCAAGATTTTTAGTTACCACAAAAGCATCAGCACTGACAACATGGAGCAAAATGATGAAGAATCCTATCCAACATTGTCTAAGAAAGCCAGGCGTTGGCTAATCAACAACAAAGGAGAGAAAATAAATGGCAAGACTTGTAGTTACCACAAAAGTATTGGCTCTGACAACATCAAGCATTGTGACTCCCAAAAGTCGCTTTGGATCAAAGGTGCCAGCTTTCTTAAAAACTTCTGCAGCGATTGGCACTGTTGAATTAACAGGATTACTAATCAAATTGACAATAGCTTTGGGACAGCACTTTGCTATTCCTTCGCAAAGAGTCTTAACAATTCCAGCATTGATGTTGAAAAGATCATCCCTTGTCATTCCAGGTTTCCTGGGAACTCCAGCTGGAATAATTACAAGGTCCATTCCTGTAAGAGCCTCCTCCAATTGCTGTTGCCCCAAAAATCCACGTACCTAAAAATTAAACAACATTATTAAAATCCTTAAACAAATACATCAACCAAAGCTAAAAACCTTCAATTAGAATTATAAATTGATGTAGAACTCTTTCTCCAGTCGTCAGCATACTCAACCTCAATATATGTGAAAAGAAGATCTTTTTTTTTTTTCTTTTTGAAGGTTCTCTTCAGTCAAAGGAACTGCAAAATCAAGTACAAATCTTGTGGGATTAAATATGGCTTGATCATTTCAGTGTACCAATCAAGATTACTTGTTTACTTCACTTCCTATTGATTTCAAGGTTTGGCATCGTATATATGGCTTGATCATAATACTCTCCTAATTCCCAACCAAAACATCAAATTCAATTGGAGAACCCAAAAATTCTCTCAGGCTACCAATTCCACCACCACCAAAAAAAAAAAAAAAGAAACAAATTTAATGAATTTCAAAAGCCAAAAAGCATATTCTTATGAAGGGAAAACATTAACATTAACATACCACAGCTCCAGTGTCCATGTGGCTAATATCAGTGGTAACACCAGGGGTATTAACCACATCATAAAGATGAAGAACATAAACCAAAGGGTTCATCTTCATCAACATCGCTAACGGCTGCCCTATTCCCCCCGCTGCTCCCAAAATTGCCACCTTGAACCCGGCTGACCCACCTTTGGCCCGGCAGTTGGCTCGACCCAAACCCGAACCACCCTCCATCTGGGAATAATTGGGAGGGTTGAGATGGGCTGAGATTGTTGCAATGCGTTGGTTGACTTGAGAGTTATTAAACCGCATGTTTTTTTCTTTTCCTTTTCTGGGTTCGATTACAAATTTCCTGTTTTAGAAGGTTGGGGGCTGGAACTTGAAAGGGCGATGGGATTTTGGCAATTTGCAAAAGCTGTTTGGAGTTTATAAACGATGGAGTGGGAAAAGCTTGAAGATGATGACGTGCGAGATTTGTTTGTTCTGTCGCAGAGTTGCTGAATTGGGAAGCGTGCAAACTGATCTTATCTCCACTGAACTTTCCAGAACAATAAATAATTGTGGCTTTCGATGCCACGCATTACTTGGAAAATTCGGTTAAACTTCTGCTCTAGCCAATCTCTCCACGAGTTCAGATGATCACACTGTTTTCCTTTCACCTGAAATTCACCGGTACTAGTATTATTATTTTGAAGTTTTATAATAATTATTTGTTTTTGTTCCACATTAAATCATCATTTTATCATTTTTAATCAAATTTAATCAGCTTTATCATAATTTCAAAATGTTGAGTTTAGAGCTTTTCAAAACTTATTTTTTGAAATTTTCATTACAGTTTTTTTAAAAGTAAAGAATTTCATTAACACAGAAAACAAAGGTTAATCTTCAAAACTGTACATTTGATCAAACATATTATCTCTTGATTACATTTAATTATATATTGCATATAAGATTATAGTAAATAATGATCAAAGTTATTTTGTTTTACCATAACAAAGTAAAACCAGACATTTAATTTAAAATAAATTAGATCAATGCTATATACAAAGAATTAAGTTCAAATATTTAATTTTACAAATATATAACTTTTTAGAATTTAAGGTTTAAATTTGAAAAAAAAAACACTTTATCACCTTAATTCATAAAAAAAATTACTTCCAACCATCAACACTTTGCCACATTGGGATTAATAATTATTTTAAAAGATCACGTGAATCACATTTGTAATTAGATAAAGAGGTGATAATTAGAATCTTAAAAAAAAGAGTAATAATTAGAAAAAAAAAATTGACTCACAGAACACCCACCGGCCTTGTATTGTACAGTCGGTCCAACAGAGCCTGCCTTCGCAGATTTAGCAATTCAAACGGCATAGACAGAGGCCCATTGTGAAGCCAGTTGGGCGTAAACATGAGTTTGTATAAGTTATTTATTGACCCAATGCGCTTCTTCTCTTGCCCAACCAGCATAGGTTCAAAGTCTTTTACACATAATTAATTAAAGTGCATTACCCTAAGCTAATATCTAATTATTCTTACCATACAAATATCTCTGTCGGCATTTCTGATCCCATTGTTAAAGAAATCACGGGAGGGAAAAAGGGCTTCTAGAAAAGGTGATGTCTTTTTCTGATTGCAATATAAATTTGGGGGACTAGGGGTTTGATGATGGCTTCCTTTGAATGTAGAGAACCATTGACGTCCAAGGCACAGCACTTGAATATCCCCTCTCATTGTCAAAAGAGGGTGGCTGTCCTAATGTTGGGACATTTTAATATAATATTTCATTTTCAACAAATTTAAGTATTAGTGGTTAATTAAGAATTGTTTTTCCTTTATCCAAATCTTTCCGTACCCCCATTGGAAATCTAATCATTATTTATCCAATCTTAATCATATTAATCTATGATACAAAGCAAGGTTGTGGATTAATCCTTTTTAAGAAAATAATTTTTTTTAAAGGAATTGTTGTTATCTTGGCGGAGGCACGAAAGCAAGAACATCATAATGAAACCGAGACATTTGTTGTCATTTTACTTGGAATCCAAGGAAATAAAATATAGTATAAACCATTTACGAAGTTATAAATTGCTTTGGGCAGGGTTTCATCATCCCATCCCAAAAGGCCTTTTTCTCATCGTTTCAACCCTTTGCTGGGTAATTCTTCATTAGTTGATTAATGCTGCAACATGACAAATTAATTGCGTCTTATTTTAGAGGTCATTTGTGGTTTGCTTTCTCCTAATTAACTAGTTAGTCGCTAGTCTATATGGTCAAAAAACAAAAATCACAATTTAAATTGAGAAAAAAAAATGAAAAAAATAAAAAAGTAAGGATCAAAATGGAGCTATCTTCCAACTTGGATTAAGTCACCATACAAATCAAATGTCATTGTCAATATTATTATGTTTTTATGTGTTATTTGTTAAGACTATTGATTTTGGTTGTTGCCTTATTAAGAATTAAAAGGGACAACCTATATAATTTTATGCGTTTCCAAGTCAATCCAAGCATCCATGGGAAGAAATGAGAACCTACAGGCTTTGATGAACCCATTGGAGTCACACAAAACTTGACCTAAAAATTTGCATGCCTTTGTGGGTCAGTATAGTGTGACCCTTTAAAATAATAATTAGCAAATTGAATGAGACAATGAAAGAGATCGTTCTTTATGTCTTACCAGAAAAACGGACCAAAGGGTAAGTTGAAAGGGCTCTTTCACCGGCCACCTAAAGCCAACACACACCCAAAAAATTGCTTCGGCTTTGGCCTTGGCCTCTGCCCCATAAAAAGTTTATTCCCCGCATGCATAAAATCCCTTCCCTCTGCCTCTTCTTCTCTTATGCTGGGTCCCTCTTTATAACCCCATCTCTCTTTCCTCTCCTACACTCTCCATACCTCAAAGGCCCAAGCTTAATTTTCTCTCTGAGGGAGAATTGCAAGGAAGGAAATTCTTTTGGGTGGGGTTGGGGGGCTGAAAGGAAAATTTCAGAAATGGCTCAACAGGACAAGCACTTCGCATCTTTCTCAACCACCCATTTCTCTATACGGGGAATTGATGAGACCAAATTACCCTTCGGAGACTGTGTTGCCCCTCTATCCATTTCCATGTAAGCCCAAAGGTCATAATTGGGAAAACAGCATTAAGCTTGAAGAGTGAAAATGTAAACTCTCTCGCTTTGTCTATCTCAGTACAAAAATATCATTCCTTCATAGAATAGAAAAAAGGCAGACAGGATGGAGCCAGGCAATTGTAGTAGTTATGGTTTTCTGTGCTTAGTTTTAGATTATTCTCATCATACCATTACTCCTTTTGGTTAAATCTTCATTAACTTTCCAAGAAAAGGAAGAGCTAGCAGCAAGTCTTTCCCAGCATCTATGAAGAAACCATCTGCTTATCTATGTATCTGCATGAGAATCTGGCCTTTTCATGTTATTATGAGCACAATGATGATGGTGATGTTGCATTTTCTTCCCATTTTTCAATAGATTGTATAATTATTTTCATACATAAAAATATAACAGATCTTTTCTTTATCTTGGCTGTTTTCCTTTCCTTCTTCAAGCTATTTTCTGTTTGCCTTCTAATTATTATTGATTCATGGTTGTTTGTCCTCTAGACGATTACTAAGGATAGTTCTTTCCTGGCCTGCCCATTTCTCTTTCTGTAGTTTTTAATATGTTGAAGGCACGACATATATTGGACTACTCTGAGTTAACCACTTAAAAAACTTTTCATTTGTTCTCTCTCTGAAGTTAGAAAACATTACTTCATTCTTTCCATAAATTACTTGTTGATCTGGTTGCTTATACAGAGAGTTGCTTTCCTGTGTTTGCAGGGTTTCGACTTTTAGCTTCCTATAATTTTTCTGACAAAATTAATCAATCTGGTAGATCTTTAGGGATCAAAGTAATACATCCTTACACTGATTTTTATTTTAGAAAAAGAAATTCTCGAGTTTTGCATGTTTTTTTCTCTCGTATGACATGCAGAAAAAGATATTCTTTATGGCAAGAAGGAAAAAGTTAAAAAGAGTAGTTCTATTTTTTTTTCCTTATCTCCAGCCGGCAAAAGTTTTGAACTAGTGCAGTTTTTATTGACACTAAGAGGCGTCCTTTTGAAGCTTTTTGATGTCATATCCATGGTTGTAAATGTAGGTTTGTCTCTATATTTTTGAGATCTAAAAGTATCTTGTAAGTGATATCTATCCTCAATTATTTCTTTGGGTGAAGATTGATGTTTTGCTGCTGCTTGTTTTTCTCGCTGCATTCAATGGCCCTTGCCCCTGGATGTTGTTTGTCTCATATACATTGCATTTAACCTGATATTCTGGCAGCTAAATGCCCAACATAGTGGAAACGAAAGAAGAGAAAAGCAAAGGAAAGCATACCGTTTTTCTTCTTGCTGAATGTCACAAAATTCAACTGTTAGAATGTGCAGGGTTTAGAAGAGTACTGAAACTGGAAACTATTTAGACTCAACAGCACTCCATTTAATCATCTACTTTGTCTATTTGATACTGCTTTCATTAATCTCAATGGTTTTGGTTCTCTTTACTGTCTTAGCTTTCTCTTCTTTTTTCTTATTAGGCTCGTTCTTTTTTAGAATATTCTGATGATCAAAGTTATGGAAACCTAAAGTGATTATTGGAACAACTTGGTGCTAATACACATATGGGGTCTATCTATATATGCTCCATAAATAAGCAATATATTGGTTTCTATTTTCTTATAAGGTGCAGAAAGATGCTTAGTCTCCCAAAACTTATTTCCATATCTCTCTCATTGCGTTCATCGTTTTATAAGATGCACCATGGTTGAAGATGTGGGAGCAAATTAAATGGATTATCTTTTAATTTCAATTCTTGAACTTGGATGGCAGGAAGACGCATGTCCATGATTGAATCAATTTCAAGTTAACTTATTTTTACTTAAATGAACAAATACTATATATTTTGAAACGCCATTGAAATGTGGGATAATGTTATTGTTTTTTTCTTACAGTTTGAAACCACCCGTTCAAAAATTTCTGCTGTCCTTGGATGTAGCCAGTTTTCATGGAAATGTTTTGTGTCTCTTTTAGTACCTCTAGTAAAACACTTGGTTTGCTGTGCAAATAGAGAAAAGCAAGGACAAAAATGTTAGTATGTGAAGCACTAAACTAATAATTAATTTCGTTCCCAAAAACTACATTACTAACTTTTCTGCTTCCGAGGCCAACCCTTTAATTACTTGAATAATCTTTTCATGTGGAATTTTGCTGGCAATATGATTATATAAAAGTTAGTAAATAGTAACATATTAAAGTTTACTAGTACAGATAGTAATCCTGGCAAATCACCAAGTCAAGAAATGCGGCAATATTAGACTATGCATGTAGGGTAAAGCCAGACCTGGCTGATATATGTTTTATCACTTCATATAACTATTCATATAATCAAAGTAATAGTTGCACCATTTTCTAAGTGGGAATTCGGAATATGCACTATCTTAAGATCAGTACAAATAGTTGGGAGAAAAAAGGTTTCAAATTCTCATGAAGAATACCATTATATATGTACATTTTTCTTCTTCTTCTTTTTTTTTTTGAATATAAGGGCACATAATACATGTAGTATGCTTGGCTTCAAGGTTAACTAATAGCAAACCATGGAAG